ACTACCATGCCCTCTGGATCTTGTTCATTGAAAAATTGGAGGTTAGCAAAGTCCCCTTCCACAGCTGCCAAGTCATATATCCTCTGACCAGATTCATCCCTCGCCTAAGAGGGGGTAAACGACCCCAAACACAAAAGTGTCTTTAATGAAGTATCTTAAACACAAAAAAATAGAACTTTTTTATGTTATACACAAAGCTCAAATCAGCAAGCAAGACAGGCTAAAAGGGTGTGCAAAAACGGGGAATAAAGAGGGAAAATGGGTTACCTTTGTAGCCAAAAGGGGACAGCAGCCTCTAGACCAAAAAATGCAACCCTCAACCTCTGAAAACAAGACCCAAGAACCTCCAAGTGATGATGGAAGTGTTGTGCTACGAGGTGTAGTTCAAATGGCCAAGAACTAGACCCTTTTGCACCTTCTAACCCACATAAATGTAGAGAGAGAGGGAGATATAGAGAGGGAGTGATATATGTATCATATATATCTAATTTTTCTAACCCCTAAAATGGAAGGAGAGGCTCTCCTTATATAGAGAAACCAAGGGGGCAAAGCTTCTCCTGGAAGCTTTGAGCAAAAAGGCCAAGCTTCTCTTAGAAGCTTGGAGCAAAAGGGCCAAGCTTCTTAGAGAAGCTAGGCAAAGGCGTCAAGGGGTTCAAGCTTCTTGGAGAAGCTAAAAAAAAAGGGTCAAGCTTCTTGGAGAAGTTAAAAAAAGGTCAAGCTTCTTGGTGAAGCTAAAAAGGATCAAAAGGGTCAAGTTTCTTGGAGAAGCTAAAAAGGTTCAAGCTTCCTCAATAAGCTAAAAATAAAGGGTCAAAAGGGTCAAGCTTCTTGGAGAAGCTAAAAAGGTTCAAGCTTCCTCAAGAAGTTAAAAAAAAAGGTTCAAAAGGGTCAAGCTTCTTGGAGAAGCTAAAAAAGGTTCAAGCTTCCTCAAGAAGCTAAAAAAGGGTTCAAAGGGGTCAAACTCCCTCAAGAAAAGGTCTCGGCCAGGAAAAGTGGCCGATTGATCAGAAACAGTGACCGACCGACCAAACACAATGCCGATCGACCATCAATAGTGCCGACCGGCCATCACCAATGGCCGGTGGCAAGGAAACAAGGCCGGTGGCCTCAAGCCATGGCCGGTGAGGTATGGGGATGGCCTACAAGCTATTTCTTACCCTCAGAAGCAAAACAATAAGTGTTTGGTGCAAAACCTGACACAAAACAGTCGAGTCGAGAGATCCTGAGGCAGGGCGCGTAGCCGAGACCACCGGGAACTCAAGATGAACACGAACAGGGATAATCATCGAGTGTTCAAGCGATGACGTCCAAGTCTTGAGGACGGTAAAAAATGGGGTGTCTACAGGATATTAATTTTCGACCATACAACCAAACAGGGAACTTAGCTAGTGAGCACGTGGCATAATAAATTAAGCCAACCACCTATCAATGAGAATATGAGAATACCGCAATGGTTCATCTACCCAAAGGCACGCCGACGATCAAGTCAGACACTTATCTCTCAAAGATATCAAATCAGGTATTCAATGCACAAGCAAAAGCATCACAAATAAAAACATACCTTAGACCCATGGGGGTGCCTCACTTTTATAATAATTAGTGTCTAACTTTCCCTAGAAGTCTTACTTCATGGGACTCTATCATTTACAACGATAACATATATCATAATTCACGCTATTCAGATTATATGAACTTCCTTAAGAGTCTCATCTCTATCCAAATAGGTAGCTTAATGTTATCTAGGACTCTTATCTTCTATTCGAATATCTCAAATTTTGGCATTACCGCATCAAACCTCGGTAACGCCGCAATCACCTCGGCAAACAT